GATTATTTTTTTTTCCTGTGATAGAAAAATTCACAACTATCTTATATAACAATAGAATATATTTATCAACGTTCTTTCTAATCATCAACAATATTTTGATATGTGATGTTATTCTAAAATGAGCAATATATATATGCTAAAACACCTAGTCTATATATTTTGTGTGACCTACTTAAAAGAAATAAAAGATTAAATTTATGTAAACGAAAATTCTTTCTTCATTATTTTATTTATATTTATTCTTTACTATAAGGAAACATAAAAATAATTCAAGACTCTCCATTGATTGAATAAAATTTAATAGTATTAAAATAATGTTAACAATTATACGATCAAATATAGTCTCCTACATTTCATCATATTCTTACACAATATATGAATCAAATACTAAATAACAACTAAATTTGAGTGTTAGTTTTCTTTCACAACTGGGACACTAACCAACCATAATGTATGAAATAAATACTAGAATGGTTATTTCGTCATTGTTATTACACAACTTCTATTAAATTACTCATCGATCTCTATAAAAAGGTGTATTGAGTTATGTTTCTTTATTCTATACGTTTCTTACACAATACTTACTTTCAAACAATCAAAATGGCATCGAATCAACAACAGTATGCCGAACAATTACAATTACTCGAACAACGTTATCCACAAGTATCAACACAAGATCTATTGTATTTCTTACAACAGCATAATGGTGATATTGATAAGGTATGATGGATTAAATTTTTATATACATTCATAGCCCGCTATTACCTCCGATGCGGGTGAATGGAGGTTATCGAAATATATATACGTATATACCGATATAAAAAGAAAATAATTCTTTTGTATTTCGAGATAATATAAATCTTTAAAATTTCTATACTCTTATCAGGTTTGTGCACATCTTATTGAAGAAGAACGTCACGTGAAAAAACTCGACTCACTCGAATCTCGTTTTGGTACTGCATTAACAGCATTACAAAAAGAATATCCGGCATCTGAGTCAATAAAACGTACACGTTTACTTAGAATTTTGGACCGTTTTGATGGTGATATTGAACATGTTCGAAAATTTTTACAAAAACATGAAACAAAACATAATGAGAGTAATGTTGATTCGAATGTTGTTCAACGTCAACAACAAGAAGAAATTAAAATAAAATATGCTACTCAATTAGCAGAATTAAGAACAGCTGGTATTAATATTCACAGTCCATGTATACTTTTACAACTCGAAAAATGTCACGGTGATGTTAATAAAGTAAGTTTAAAGATATGACGAAATTGCAATTTTCTGGTACAATTGAGATTTTAGTTGTATTTGACTAATAACTTTTGTTCTTGTATATCTATATGGACAGTTTCTTTTTATATATATCTGGTGTCTGAGCGTCCCACACCTACAGCAAATTTCAACTCTGTAGCTCATACTGTGAAAAAAAACGAATTTTATAGTGTGATACACTAAGAAAAGCCATTTTCGGACAATGAAAATATAATTAATTGCACATCTTTCCAGTTTTTTCTTTCTGTTTACATGTCTATTAGTCTAAAATACAGTATGACAGACACTTTTTATTTTTATTCATATGCGCACAAGTTAAAGAAAAACTGGTTTTTTGGAAATAAAACTAATAGAAAAATTACTTTTGGATGATTTTTCTATTCGATGAAAAAAAGCAATATTTTTCTAATATTTCGACTGCTACTCACTTGGTCGTGAATTCAAATTGTTTACTCTTTTCTTATGAAGTTCTTCTATGATTTCTCTATTAAATTAATATTTTATGTCTTAAACACATCAAATCTTTTTATATCACAGTATATTTTGTGGGATGTAGCGCCACATTTTTTCTTATTGGTTAAGTCTTGTAACCAATGACTATTTTTGTAGCGCCATCTTCAAGCGTGAAATGCACCACATAAACTTTTTACACTTACAATCGCTATCAATAATTTGCATTATGGTGGTCCTACTGTCAAAAAATTTAGTGTACAGTAGTGTCTTGAGTGGGCAATGATTCCTCTCTTTTCTCCAATCTTGGTGACATCGGGACATTTCTCAAAGTCTACATAACTTATATCGACTCAGCTTTAATAAATAACCACCCTTGGAAACTAGTGGCATATCTAGAACAGTGGCGACTCGCTGGAGGTGGGTGTGAAAGGTGGCGCCACTCTTTTTTTGCTTTAAAGTTTTCAATTGTGTGTTATTAATACCTGAAATTTTTATTATAATATGGTCCTAACATGAATTACATCCCCTAACAATTTCAGGTCTTAATAACGCATAATTAAACATTTAAAAGCAATAAAAGAATGGCCCCACATTCCACACACCGCCAGCCAGTCATCACTGTTCCAGATACGCCACTATTGGAAGCTCAGCGAAAACTGTACCTGTTTAAATTACATACACCTCTTCATTCTCACACAGTACTGTGTCAGCGAATTTATATATAGGATGTGGATAATTTGAAGAAGAGCTCCGTGAGTAGTCATCTATTGCTTATAGTTCTCGACAAGTTATCATTATGCGACAAAATGGATAGTATTTTATACGATTGAATCTAATTTGTTGTGGAAAGTCAGCCCATTTATACTTCGAACATACATTATGAATTAAAAAGTATTTTCATCATATAGAGTTTGAACAGTCCACTACGGTCTGTAGAAAGGCATTGTTTTTAAACCGTGATATTTCAAGGAACAGTATTCTGAATTAATCAGCAGTTTTATTACATGGAATTTTATCAAGCTATAATCGGTGTTCCCAATAAAATAACGCTTCTTACAATATGCTTACACTGTAAATTAAATCATATCTCGTCAAATATGCAAGAAAGTGTTCGGAAGATTTTTGCTGTTTAACGTAGGGATAAAGTATAAGAAAATGTACTACTAATGAGCGAATATTTTTAAATAATCAAACGCTTTCTTACATACAGCTAGGGGATCGATATACTCTATAATCTTAGTAGGGGTACCACAAACGACTTTAGCAAAATTTTTATTAGTCTAAAAAACCAAGAAATAAAAATCTAAGAAGATTTCTCAGGGTTGTTTTCGAGAGGTTTACAATCCATTAGCTTTCGGCGAGGAAGCCTTACTCTTAAATTGATTTAGATAAAATAAACATACATATCTATAATAGATATTAGAAATAACAAAATGTCGTGAAGAGAAAAAACATCATATTACTGAACTTGATCCTAAATATTCAAGCCAAATCGTTCAACTTGAAATGGATGGTATAAAAATAAAAAACAAACGACTTTTATTAGAATTATTAGAAAAAGCTAATGGACAAGTTGATATTGTCAAACAACTTTTAGCTGAAAGAGACAAACAAAAACATCAGTCTAAATCATCAATTAACACCAATGTAGAAAATCATAAAAAATTATCATCATCAAAGAAACAACATGAAATAGATATTGATGATATTGATAATCTTAAACAATTACGTTCAGCAGGTATACATGGTAATCCAATGAAAATCTTAGCATTATTTCATGAATGTAATCAATCTATTGAAATGACTAAAGCTCGTATTGAAAAAGATCGAGAACAACATGAACAACAATATGAAAAACGAACACAGGTAGAAAAACAAAACAATTCAATAAGTATATCCTTTTCTTTTTTAATTAGCAACGTATTACACTCGCCGAAATTCATGATGCATATTTAACAATAAACAATCGAAATGATTGGCCAGATAATATTCAACAAGTTTATTTAGATGGTAATAATATGATGTTTGTTATTGATTCAATTCGTCGATTGTGTTTAAATCGAGCAAGTAAAAAAGCTGAACGAGCTATTGCAGAATTAGCTGCTGCATGGAATGAACAAATGCATATACCAAATGTTGAACTTATTTTTGATTTAACACATCAATTAGAACAAATTCAAAGTATTAAAGTTAGTAGTGCACAACCAATGTATAAAACAACTGATGATATGCTCATTGATATTGTTCGACGAAGTGAAAATAAAGAAAAAAATAGACATACAATTATTATTACATCTGATCGAGACTTAGCTATTCATGTAAGTTTGTCTGTTTATTTTCTTGATTATTAATATTATTTGATTTATTTCAAATTTTAGTTAAAACGTGAAGAATGTCAACTCGTAAAACCACATCAATGGTTTTCTCATTGTGCAATGATATTAACACCAGATTTAATTAAACATGAAGAAATAACAGAGATGTCTACAATAGCAACAACAAAAAATAAATCTCAATATGATCTTAATGAACTTGTTCGTCGTATTGTTAAAATTGATTTATAGGTTATTTATTTTTATTTATTTTTTTGTTAAATATTTTCTTATAATGAAGAAAAATACATTGTCTTTTTCTTTTCTGTTAAATAAAATTAAATAATCACTTTTATCTACCAAGACAGCGTATGTATATAAAATGATCAGTACATAAATATGTACAATATATATTCATCTTTTTTGAAAAAGCAATCTATCATATTTATTTCATGAAAAGGATGAAAGAAAGACTTTCCTTTATACCTATTATCGAATGCACTCGAGTGTAACGCCTGACCGTCTAACGCCATGATGAAATATATATGTATAAAAAAAAATGATTGCGTTTTGTTGTTTGATTCAATCGGACAACTCACCTTTTTCTTTTTACCGTTTGATTATATGAATGTGTCACGTTAAAATGAATACGTTATTCTCGCCGTTAGTACAAACTCATTCGATTTTTTTTTATTCAGTTCAATCAATGCGTAACCAAAGCTTTTAATCAGACGATGAAAGAAACTTCAAGTTGACTATAGCTGATCAGTACATGAGCAATCATTGAACCATCATATTATTACAATAGTAAGTTGTAATGGATGAAACAATATGAAATACAAATAATAACAATTATTCACAAGAAAATCGTTTTTTTTTTTTGAATGTTCTTTTTTTTTGTTATATATACTAGTGTAATTTACTTATTCAGATAAATCATTTAATTAAATTAGACTATGCCTGCTGCAAATTTTGTCAAATCTTCTACTCCTTTTAGTGGAGTACCATCTATGACTTTACATAATACGGCAACGGCTGTTCAAAGTGGTCCGTATACAAAAGCACAATGTAAAAGATTTCATTTTCGTTTTTTTTTTTTTTGTAATCATATTAAATCGATTTTTATTTTTCTTAGTTCAAAGTACAATGGAAGGTTCTCGAACAATAAAAAATAATAAAGAAATTGAACAAATTCTTCGTGATTATCCAGCTGCATTGGAACTTTATCGAACAGGAAAATATAAAGTTAAAGTTAAATGTGAAGCTGATGTTGAACGTGTTATTCTTGTTGAAAAAAAAGTAACAAAAATTGCATCAAATAATTCAACAAATAAAAATCAAGATAATAATCAAACTGTTCCTGATGTTTCGACTAATAATGAACAAAATAAAGAAATTGACCAAGAACAAGATTCACAACAATTACATAGTCGTACACAATCACAAGAACATGTTCCACCAACAACATCAACAACAAATGGTAATAATATTGTTCATGCAACAATATCATCAACTTGTATAACAAATAATAATCAACCTAAAGTTGATCATCAACGAGCACCATCAAATGAACGTGATGTTTCTGCAATATCTAAAAAAAAACAGCCTACTCATCAACCTAATTATTCAGATGATATTCAACATAAAGCATTGAATAACAAACAACAAGGAGATAAAATCAATCGAGACTATCCGAGACTTATGATGCCTTATGTTTCACAAGCTAATAAACCTGAAAATCAATGGCAACAACTACGATTTCAACATCCATATCATAGCAATCCTGCATTACAACAACAGCAACAACAACAACAACAACAACAACAACAACAACAACAACAACAACAACAACAACAGCAACGATCAAATTCATATGCGCCGGTACCATATGGATCACAACAAAATCCAAGATTTCAACAACCGTATTATTATCGTCAACGACCAACTACTCCAATCAACTTTCTTCCACAGTAAGTAAATAACCAATAACAAAGTCAATTCTTTTTCGATTGAATTATTTTAGACAAGCTGCATTCCCAATATTATCAACACCAGTAATTCGTAAGCCAAATCTTCATTCAATGAATTACTATCCAACATCAACTCGATCCATGAATAATATCGTGGGAATTCCATCAGCTATTCGTACGTTTCAATCGAATCAACAACAACAACAACTTCCATCTCTTCGTCAGATGTATCCACCACAAATACGATTTCCTATGAATCATCCACGGCCTACTATGATAAATGATCCATTGCGTAATGTCATTAATAATAGCAATAGTTATATCGAACAACAAAAAGGTACAAGAAGTCGAACACAAAGTGTTGATATGGGTCCTCGTGGCAATCTACCAGTTCATATGTCTAATATTCCACAACAAACTGGTGCTGCAGTTATTGAACAGTATCATCATCATCGTCATCATCATCATCGACCTCATCCAATAAATAATGTTGAAAATGGCAAAGAAGAAAAAAATGTTACATCTGTATGAAAAATTAAATTTAAAATCAATTGAGATAATTTTTGTTTGATATTTTCATATTTTAGAAAGGACAAACAAATGCAGTTATTGTTGAAAAATTAACCGTTCGTCAACTTAATGGTTTGTCTATTATTCATTATAAAGATTAATAAAAGTTTCTTGTTTATTTTATCTATAGAAACATTTAATCGAATAGATCCATCAGGTCGAGTACCATATACTTCAATACCTGGAATTTTACAACGTTTTGGTATAATATTATCCGATAATGATATAATTTCAGCTGCAAAAGATCTTGAATACAATCGTAAGATACTGGTTCTTTTTTTTTTAGAATCATTATTCAATTTTTTTCTTTTTTTTTTTGTTTATTACAGTTAACGAACCAATATCTGCTCGACGTCTTATACATGTTCTGGTCAAATTAGGTAAAATAACAAAATCAACTCAACATCATCAACAACAACGTCAACCTGTTTCACCATCGATGTTACCTGAGGATCGTGAAGTTACGGATATAATGACACAACGTAACGTAAGTCTTTATTTTTTCTTATGTTTATTAATTTATTTTAATAATTATTGACATTTTCTTTTTTCTTTAGACAACAAATAATCTTATACATTCATCAAATCAACCTAATCAATAATATTAATATTTTAGACATATGACAATAGATAAACAATATTCATTTTCATTTTTCTTTCTTTTGTTTTTATGGTTGTGTGAATGTAATTTATTTGATAAACATTGACTTAGACAAAAACGAAAAATATAATGTTTAAATAGTTTTACCAAAGAAATTAAGGTTTCAAATAATTCAATTAAATATGTTTTATTAAATTTACATATGATTTTTCATAATCAAGAATGATAGAATATTAACTGAAGGACAATTAAATGTTTCTATTTAAATATTTTACATTTCTTCTTATTAACTTCTCCGCAGGTGAAAAGAGTCACATGATTGAACGATTTCTTCTGTCGTAAATAGATTTAAGTTATGACTGTCGACTTTCTTTAAAGAAAACATTTTCTTTTAACTTCGTCGAGGATCAATCATTTCTGCTTCGAAATGAAGCGATTAACATACAACTTTTCTAGAACTAATGATTAAGTGTGAGGAGAGAAATGAACTTTTCTTTCGCGTTTTCCGTACATAGAAAAATTTAATTTTTTCTTTAGTCATGATTACCGATGAAATCGTATTTATTATTAATCTAAATACGAAGAATATAATTAATTTTGTAAACTAATACTTATCATGCCATGGCTCTTAAAACATTGCAATTAATTGCCAAAAATGGCATGATTGTGATAAACTGGGTTGTATGATATTGCACAACCATCTTAATAATGAGAAATTATGAACTAAAATCTGTTGAAAACTTTAGTAAACCTGTTCTGAAGGCCGCCCCCCCTGAGATGCGTCGATGTGCGGCAAGCTCAATGCCAGAGAAAACAATATCGATAAAATAATACAACTTTCCTTTTTATATCATGAGAAGAACAACGATCATAACGATAATCAAGTGACGAGCGCGAAAAACAATAGAACAAGAGAGAGAGAAGAATAAAGCGCGAAAGAAAACAAATAGAAAAATGAGCAGATCATAATATACAAGTAACGACATACAATGCCGTTACAGGGCTCTCCCACCATAGAAAAAAAAATCTAGAGCTCCTGCGACTGTTCTAGAATTATATATCAATTAGTTTTGGTCATTTTTGTTCGTGTGGGTTATTTGTTTTTCGTTTTTTTTTTTTTTTAATTGACAGAAGAGAATATTTCATAATTCGAAGAATCATTTGAGTTAAGTAGTATGTAATGATAAAGTCGAATATGATGTAATTATGCGATAGAAGAAAACGACCAACACAGTATAAGTACAAATATTGATTGAAGTTTACGAACGATTCAGAGCGACAAATTCAAGTAATTGTCATGTAAATTAAAAAAAAATGATGGCTACAGATATTCGCCAATAAGAGAATGACGACAAATCGATCAGTTTACATTATATCGAGAGTTGCATCAATAAACAAACAAATAAAGAAGTATAAATAGAAAAAAAACTTGTTGTGAATAATATAATTAAGAGATGGTTGTAAACGAATAATAAGGAGTAAGTCGTTCTATGTGTATTGGTGATAAACGTTGATGAGATATAATATGTTCTAATTCATAGGTAACAGATGATAATTTAGTGAGAATTTTATATGGGCCTTCTCGTCTTGGTTGCAGTTTACTGCCACGCCATTTTCCCATGGCAATACCAGATAA